TGCTCAGCATTCACCTCCTCTATTACATATTGGTCTCGGTGGTATTTATCAACAAGTTTGTGTCTCCCAGTAAACGCAGTTTGCTTTAGCAATACTCGCTTCCCGACTTCCAATGGTTTGACCTGCACTTGTCTATCATGTAGACGTTTATCATTCTCCCTTGTTTTCTTGATCTGGCTCTCAGCAATGGTCATAGCTTTCTTTAAAGCATCTGCTTGATTCTGCACATAATCATTATCCCAATCTTTACAGGCTCTGTTAAGTAGCTGATCTAAAGGAATGGTTGGCTCACGGCCGTACATCAATTTATAAGGGGAAAACCCAGTAGCACGATGTGGTGTGGAATTGTACATATATACCAAATGATTTAGCAGCTCCGGCCAGCGTCTTCTCTCATTTGGTTCCAACGATCTGATCATGCCACAAAGAGTGGAATTAAATCTCTCGACTTGGCCGTTCCCCTGTGGGTGATAAGGGGATGTTCTTGTCTTTTGTATCCCATAGAGCTTACACATCTCTCTAATCAAGTGACCTTCAAAATCCCCTCCCTTGATCCGAATGGATTCTCAAGGGTATCCCATAGTGACAAAACCAACAATCTCGCAATACCTTTGCCACAGTACAGGCGGTCTGATCCTTGCATGCAACAGCTTGTGAATATTTAGTGAATACGTCTGTCATCACTAAGATGTCTTCGTAATTTCCTCGTCCCTTATCCATTTTCAAGAAATCTATCGCCAAGACTTCCTGAGGTCGAAATGCAAGAAGATGCCGCATTGGAGTTTTTATATTTGGTCTAGGCTCCTTAACAACTTTACAATTGAAGCATGTGTTAATATATAGTCGCACCTGTTGATTCATCCCAGGCCAGAAACATCTTGCTCTGAGTAAACTTAAGGATCTATCAATACCCTGGTGTCCCCAGTTGTCATGAACAGCTTTAAGTATGGTTTTTCTTAACATTTCTGGGACTAGCAGCTGCTGTGTCGTTCCTTCCTTTCGATCCATTTCTCGATACAATACACCATTTCTCTCCACAAAATGGGACCATTCACGTAACCAGCTCTTTACTTGGACTTTATCTCCAGATGACTCTTGTCCTGGCCTCCACTTGTTATTCCAGTATCTCCAAACAACCTGTAGCTCAGGATCCATCTTCTGCAACTTAGCTAACTCATCCATACTGTATGAAGGAAAAACATTAGGTTGCAACGGCTGTTGATTTAAAACTCCATCTCTGTTAACCTCTTCATTAATTAATTCAACAGGTAACATGCTACACTCCAGCTCCTTTTCCAATGCAACAGTTACAGCTTCTGCTCTCATATTTCCAGGACAACGACTTAAGGCATCTGCGCATTTATTTGTGCGTCCAGAACGATACTTTATTTCCAGGTCAAATGCTGCCAATTGGGCTATCCAACGGTGTTCTGTAGCACCTAGCTTTGCTGTACCCAAATGGGCCAAAGGGTTATGATCTGTATAGACGATAGTATGCCCTCCCAACAAATAATCTCTAAACTTGTCTGCCACAGCCCATTTCAGGCCCAATAATTCTAGCTTAAAACTCGAGTAATCCGGGTAATTTCGTTCGGCACCTCTCAATCCCCTACTGGCGAAGGCCACAGGATGAATCTCACCATCAGAATTTCAACTGGTATAAACAGGCTCCTAAACCCTTCAATGACGCATCAATCTCCAAAATGAAATTCTCTCCAAATCGGGGATATTCCAGAACTGGTGCAGATGTCAATCTTGTCTTTAATTCATTAAAGGAAGCATTAGCTTCTGGGGTCCAATGAAAATTGCTGTCTTGTAACTGTGTTGTGCTAGTGTATCTTTTAGTTTTTCTGGATTTCGCCTTGTTACCAGCCAATGCATGCAGTGGACCAGCAATATGAGCAAAACCTGGAACAAATCTTCGATAATAGGATGCTAGTCCTAAAAATGACCTTAACTCTTCTACGTTGGTAGGAAGCGGCCAATCCTTGATACGAGATGTTTTACCAGGATCCACAGCTATTCCGGCTGCACTCACTACATGACCTAAATGACTCACTTCACGGCAAAGGAACTTACACTTGCTCCCCTTCAGCTTCAATCCAAACTTCTCCAAACGCTCAAACACCATCTTCAATCGTTCTACATGCTCTTCAATTGTAGGTGCAAAAACCAAAATATCATCCAAATAAATAATAAGGTGTGATAAGTTAAGATCAGCAAAAACCAATTCCATGACACGCTGAAAAGTGCTGGGACTATTTATCAGTCCTTGAGGCATTCTAGTAAACTCAAATAATCCCCAAGGCACCCTAAACGCTGTTTTCTCCACACTGTCTGGGTGCATCGCAACCTGAAAGTAACCATGTGCGAGATCCAAGGAAGTGAAGAACTTCGCACCACTCATAGCTTCTAAACTTTCCTCTATGCGAGGGAGGGGGAACGAGTCTCTAACTGTTTGTAGATTTAAACGACGATAGTCTACACATAGACGTAAGGATCCATCTCTCTTACGGACTGGCACTACAGCACTTGCAAAGGGGCTTTTAGATTTTCTAATGATCCCTTTCTCTAGCATTTCTTGCAGTAACTGCCTGATTTCTGGTATCTGTGCTGATGGTATCCGTCGGTATGGTAACCGGATTGGTGTCCCGTCTTTCAAATTGATCTGGTGGGGAATAACATTGCAGAATCCAAGATCCATACTATCTTGAGAGAAAACTGTCTGATTCTTATGAAGCAATTTTGCTATCATATCAGCCTCGACCTGATCAACGCCAACCAAACTCACCCCACGTGGCAAAACCAGTCTGGTTCCATCTTTACACAAATATTCTGTACCAGCTTCACTTGGCCCCTCAATTGCAGTCACTTGCAATCCAAACTCTGGTCCATCCTGAGGCACCCCTTTTTCCACAGCTATTTCAGCAATTGTCACTCCAATGAATCCATTCATAGGTTCTGCAACCACTTCTTCCTTCATATCGACTGCCACAGCTGAAGCTAATACGGTACCAGGAGTTATTACTACTTCTCTCTCACTCTCATTTGCCACTGTAAGTTGGTACACCATTCCATCTCGCTGAGGAAAACCCTCATAAATTTTAACTGGACCTTCTGCTCTCGACTCCACCAGGATATCCATTTCTTTATCAGAATTGGCTATTACACACTCCATTCTCCTCACGGCAAGAGGGGGCAAAACTTCACTTTTACTTCTAGTCTTCAGTGTTAACCCCTCTATTGGTTGCGTCACTTCAGTTTGGAATGCAGTATCTACAACATCCCATGAGTCATCATGTACTTTGTCGTTCTTAAACAAAGCTCTCAATGCATTGCACCCCAAAATCACTGGAAATTTTGATCTCCGTTTCGTGATCACCTGGTCCTCTACTACCAGAAAGCCAATCGCTGCTGACTTCCCTGATAAGGTTACTAATGTCTTTATGTAACCGGCAACCGGAATCGTGATGCCTGTAACACCTACAACCTTGATTCCATCTCCGCATCCAAGAGAACCCAACTTTGGTTGCAAAATTTCTTTGTAGAAACTCAGTGGGATCAAACTAGTCTCAGCACCAGTATCTAAGATACACCCGATCCGACTTCCAGCAATTAACAACTCCGCCGTGGGACTTTCTGAAATTAACAATGATTTCAGGTCTTCACTGGTACCCCGTTGCACGACATGCGATGCTGTTCGAACCTCTGGTACAATTTCCGTTTCTGTTTGGTTTGGTTCCTGCACTTGAACCTGTCTCACATCACTCTGTTTCAATGGTAATTTTCCCCAATGTGGACAATTATATTTCATATGTCCCATTTTACCACAATTGTAACACTTAACAGGTACACGGCAATCTCTCCTTCGATGACCCTTTCTACCACAGTTGTAACACAATTCACTCTCCTTCCTTTCACTTCCAATAGGCTTAATGGATTTTACTACACTAACCATATCCTGTACAGTTTCCTTCAGTTGATTAACCTCATCCCTCAGTTTGCGGATGTCATCCTCATCACCTCGTGACACAACCTGTACCTCGGCTATCTCTCTAACTTTCGCCTTGACTGGGCGTTGGTCTTGAAACAATTCTAGAACTTCTTCACGCATTTTCAGGAAGGATTTGTCTGCACTGGCAATTACGATTCTCCTCAGCTCTCGCTGAATTCCTTTGTCTCGGGCCCCTCTCACTAACCTTTCTTTCAAGGTACTATCTTTTAACTTAGACAAAGCCTCCTTTTCATCGGCACTGGCCGCAGCCTCCATTCGATCATACAGTCTAATCAATATGTTGCTAAACTCTGCCAATGTCTCCCCTTCCAACTGCTCACGATTATGAAGTTCACTACTAAGAGACTGAACTCGTTCTTTTGGTCCAAATCTTAACTTTAGAATATCTATGATCTGTTTACTATCTTCCTTAACAGCACTCTCTCTACAAAGAATCTCTTCCTTGGCTGCCCCACTGAGATGGGTAAGCAGGCTTTGAGCTTTATCTTTTCCTTCTAATTTATAGAAAGCACTATAATCATGGAATTCAATAAGCCATTCGTGTAATGAAAGGTCACCTGCAGTGTCTGGTTGTCCTTTAAACTTGCTTAATTTCATAGCTGGCATTGTTCTTGACGTAGAAAGATTCTTAAATGCACCTGTCAATGCCGCAACCATCTGGGCCAAATCAGGAGCAGCCGCAGCACCTCCTGCCTCCTCACCACCTGGGTTAGCCATCCTAAATTATTTGAAACAAAATTATCGAATACACAAAAATATAATAAAATCAAAACAATGATAAAAAATAGTCCAGTCCAATTTACAACCACCTAACTATCTGTACACTTTCTTCGTTTCCTGTATGTACACACGCAAAGTTGAGGGTTTTCTACTTGATCTTCACTGCAGCCATCCCACTTCTGACACCATTTGTCGTAGGCCGGGATTTGAACACAGACACACTAGTACAATGATATGGCTGCTGATCTGTATGTTTCTTTATTCGTCAACCAACTTGAATTCCAAAAATCAAATCACCAGTCTCAAGTAAAACATAAGAAACAAAAAAAAACCCTGCAATAAACAAACAACTCATTGCAGTCATGTAAGATTACCTTCAATAATGTAAAATCACAACATCAAATAATATTAATAATATCACTATTAATATCACATTAATAATATCATAACAACAGTGAT